TTTACTTGATAATATAATTATTACCAGAAGAAAAACCAAAATTCCCCTCTTATGTATGATAACTAAGAGTTCCTTACCATTACCAGCCATCTGAATACTCTTGAAAAAATGTCAGTGTCATTTCTGGGTTCAAGAAAGTACCTTGGCATAAGATTTACAAGAATGAGAATTTTTTTTTTTTTTTTTTTATTCCTCAGTAAAAGAATATTCCATCCTTTTGACAGAATATAACACACCTGTACAATTGAAATGGACTCTAATGTACATATGTAATCAGACTACTACAGGTTTGATCCAGCAACAGAAATGAATATCAAAATTATCACTTTGTTGGTATGGCATAGCGAGTGCGACAAACCGAAATAGGCCCCAGATGCAATTGTAGTCGGCCACACTCCCTGGGTTGGAGGCCAAGTTTTCCTAGAAGTATTGAGTTAAGGATTAATGAGTGATAGTGAGTTGAGCACTGACATGATGCGTAATGCTGTGGCAACTTAGGTGAACAAGAGGAAATGAGTAAGAAATTCTTGGTGTCATCATTTTTGGCATTAGCTGTCTATAGCTAGCCTGGCGGGAAATCACTCTTTCAGAAAAAAAACTACTTTATAGTAACAACTAGTAATGTAGAGTTGATTTCAATGTGTATTTTTTCTACCATTTCAGGCAACGGTTCTGGCTTCATGAAGGTCATGGAACGCTTGATGAGAGGAGTCTGGACACCTGGGGCCGTCGAAGTTATGCAGCCTACCTTGTATGTTGTGTTATTTGCACTGTTTTTGTAATATGACTCTGTATAAAAATTTTAGATTTTTTGGTTATGTGTGATTGTACATCTGAATTTCTTTATTTTATTTATTTTTTTCTATGTATTTATTTATTCTTTTTGATTCTCTAAACATCAGTATTGTTTAAAGATATTTATTACTTAATTTTTGCAATAGCTAACCTATAAGCTATTTTAGAAAATATATGACTAAACATTTTAAAGAGCATAGGAAACTAAACTATTCTCTTCCTTCCTTCCTCTCCAGCCCCACGAAAGCTTCCATTGCGGCTGCATTTATCTTTGTGCTGGATAAGAAGACCGATCTTATCTCCGCACCCCACGCTCTTGTCTACTTCGGCATCTGCATCTTCTTTGTTTACTTCAAGGTGAGGCTTGGGATTTTAGGCTCTTGTGTGGTGTCATTGTTATTGGTTTGCAGGATCTGAATATATTGTAGGGTTGAAGGTGTGTGTGTGTGTGTGTGTGTGTGTTTTAGGGAGGAGGATTTGATGTTAGTTTTTGTTTTCATTTTTATCATCATTATTGTAATCACAATCACTCTTATCATCATTGACATAATAAATTCATTATTATGATTATTATTATTGTTATTAATATTATTGTAATAATAATAGTCCTTATAATAATAACTTTCTTTTTGTATGTGTGTAGATCAAGAGGTATAGTGATTAAGATTGAATGGATAGATGAACAAATAAAGGAATGAATGAGAGAAAGAGAAAGGGGAAGAGAGAAAAATTTCTAATCTCTGAAATGAAACTCAGTAAGAAACATTAAAAATATAAAGATGTAGAAGTGAGATCATTTGACAACCTTTATGCAATATTGGTGTAACTCATAGTCTATTTCTTTATTATTTTACATATTATTAATATTTCTGTGTATAATAAAGCAGGTCAGTGAATGGGGAAAAATATTTGAGGAAATGTATGTTCATATTGTGCACCAGACATTATATTTTCATGTGTATTTTTACTCTCTTTCTCTCTTGTGCATGGTTTCTAGGGGGCAGCAAAATTGTCATTCATTAAAATAGAGACTTTCATACAAAAAAAAAAATATTTTGCAAAAGCAGTAGAAATATTACCTTTAATGTCTGAAATGTTTAGAAACTTCAAGTAGAATCCCAAATATTTGTTTGAAATGAAGCAGCATATTTCCAAGTCATATACTTTTGTGCAGACATTGAATATTAAATATTGAATATTAAATGAAAAACAATGTTTTACACATTTAAATTTGTCATCTTTACTTTTGTTGATATTTCTGCTCATGGATTTTATTAGGTGCTTCTTTTCTTTTCATTTTCTGTAAGTGATTCATATGCCGCCTTTCCCTCACAGCTCTCATCACTGCTGCTGGGCATCCACGACCCCTTCCTGCCCTTCGAGAATCTGTTCTGCGCCATCTTCCTTGGGGGCATCTGGGACTCCCTGGCCCAGACCCTCGCCGGCAAGAAGGGTGCCGCAGCCGAGAAGAGTGGAGAGGCTGTCAAAAATGGTAACGGCAAGAACAAAAAGGACTGAGGCAGCAGTGGTGTTTTTTATTTTTTTCATGTGTGACTAACATGATAGTGTGGGAGGATGGACTTTTTTGTAAGTATTGGTGATCATTTTTTTCGTCCGTCATTATCTTGCTGTTATATGTTTCTTTTCTATTCTCCTTTTTTTCCTTGTATTCATCATGATCTATATCTCTAGTCTAAAGTTTCTG